GGCCTTAAATTCATTCAATCACTACTATTTGCTGGCTTTTTTTAAATTTTAAATTTTATGCAACTTCCTAGCTTTTCAATATGATCGCTTGAGAGATGCTATCTCCTGCTATGTGTTTTTCATTTATCCATACCAATAACAGTCTCTCAACATCTTCTATCACTTGCGATCTCAGTTTTGAAAACATAGTTGCACCTTTGGCAAGAACAGCTTCCTTGATTGCTGTTTCTTGGCCACAATAGTAGTGATGGTTGATTGGGGTTTTGTGTACAGCCTGGCCAGCTCGGAGACATGCACTCCACTTTCATACTTAGCAATGATCTCTTTCTTCATATCCATAGTAATTCTCACCTTTTTGCTGTAGGGTTGGCACTAGCTTTCTTGGGGCCCATGGTGGACTTATTTTGCAGGTGCAATCACTAAAAAGGCTGTGATAATATGAAATGTTCCGATTGTATGCTTGGAAGCGACCGCGGTGGCTGGCTGGCTTGTAAAACACTGGCCAGAAGTGGACGCGTCTCAGACGGAAGGAATAGTGTTTGTCGAGTTTTTTAGCGCTAATCGAGGCAAAATTTTTGCAATAAAATGTATCTCTAGTCAGATAATTGATGCCATCGCTGGTTGAGGGTCCACTGTACATATAAAATAACATTTTTACTTACCTTTATTGAAGACTGGTAATGGCATCTGGAAGATAGGAAGGAGGAGAGAGGGAGTTGGGGTTAGTGTTTGGAAGGAGAATCCCCCTCCATAAGGACTTCAGGTAAAGCCCTCTCTGGGGTTACTTCCCTTCTCTGTCTTTTAATGCCACTAGGACCAGCTTGAGAGTCACTGGACCCCTGTCTCACAAAATAACTGTCCACAGTCCTTGTTTATGGCGCCTCTTTAACATTTCCTAAAATGGGGCATGGTTCTGTCACTGAACTTGTTGCAAAGATGGCTTGTTTCAGCTTGCTCAGGGTGGTACTTCCGCACAAACATTTGGACATCATTCCACTTGGCACAAATCTCCTTAATCTTTGAAGAAGGCACCTCATCCACTCCCTATATTAACACCTTTCGCAATGTCAGCTTCCTTGATTTGTTCTTTCTTTGACAGGACAGAACCGATGGTCGACTTGTTTTTCCCATACATCCTGGCAAGCTCAAGTCCCACACCACTCTCATACTTCTGTATTATTTCCTTCTTCACATCTATGGTGTTTCTCACTTTCTTTACCACAGGGATACCACTAGCAAGTTTCTTTGGGCCCATGGCAGCTTATTTCAGTCCCACAAGCACTAAACACAATGAAATAATCGTAAAATGCGTAAATGAGAGCGCAGGTTAGTGTTCACTCAAGCATAAACAAAGCTAGACTGCTCACGGCGCCTGCGTGGGGACGCGGACAGAGCGGGCGGCAGACAGGTCCCGTACCCGGCGGTCCGAAAATAGGGGCGCGTTTGATAATAGGGACACAGTTTGTCCGAAAAAATGGTCCTATTTTCGAAACGTTTCATATGTGATACTTTCAATTTTTGAGGTTCCACTGTATATCAATAGAAGTAAATTACAGTAAAATAATGAAATAATGATTGTACATTACATTACAGTACTATGAAGGTAGTTTAAATAGCAAAGGTTTGACATTATGCCCTACCCAGTATGACGGCAATTTCAAAGGTTTGACTTACGTCCATTTTTGACTATACGACCAGTTGGTCGGAACCAAGCTCGGTCGTAAGTCAGATGGTACTTGTATTTAGCAAGTTCAGGCTTTTGAAAAGTGATGGGATGTGCTGTTAACACAGAAGCTGGTAATCATCCGCACAGCAGCTTGCTGTTGGGTTATTAAAGGTTTAAGGTGGTTGGCTGTGGTTGATCCCTAGGCACAAATACCATAGGTGAGGTAAGAATATAATAACGAGTGGTATAGGGTAAGGAGTGTTGTTTGGGGTACATAGTATTGTATCTTGGAAAGGATGCCTACTGATTTGGAAATTTTCTTGGATTTGTGTTTGATATAGAAATGAAATTTAAGATTACAGTCAAGGAGAAGAAATTTACCCTCAGTGTATCTTGATACAGTGGACCCTAGTTTTTCATAGTTAATCCATTCCAGAGTGTAACTAATGGCAAAATTGACGATTTGCAAAATCATTTTCCCCATAAGAAATAATGTAAATCCAATTACTGTAATCCGTTCCAGACCAAAAGCATTAAAAATTTTTTTTTACATGAATATAGATTTACATACAAGGAAAACAATGAGACATGAAGAATAAAACAATAATAACATCACACTTGCCTTTATTGAAGACTTGTTGGTGTATGAATAAAATACTGTGGTCCCTCGCTTTTTGTAAGCATCGGAAGACATAATTTTTGAAAATCGTAACTTTTTTCGTCAAAACAATGACTCGTGAATCCTAGTTTGACTCACAAATAGTCGTTCATCCCAGACGCGAACCCATGCGTCGAGCGGCCCCACACTCCATTCCCACCCAATGTGCCATTGTTTATCAATGAGTGAGGACGATCCCATACGTTCATACGATACATTTCATAATACAGTGGTCCCTCAATTGTCCTTAATCCGTTCCTGGAAGTGGGACTATTATTGAAATAGACGATTTTCGAATAAATTTTCCCCATAAGAAATAATGTAAATACAATTAATCCGTTCCTGACACCCAGAAGTATTAAAACAAAAAAATATTTTACATGAAATATAGATGTAGTACATAAACAATACAAATGGGACATGATGAATGAAACATTAACAGCATAACACTTACCTTTATTGGTGATTCTTCTTAGTGTATGGAAGACTGGAGGGGGAAATCCCCACTAGCATTAGCACAGAACATGAGCGTCAGCCTGTCTTTCAAAGGCTTGAGTCCTGGCAGTGCCTTTTCTTCCTGAGTAATGTAGGTTCTCTTTAGCATTTTCTTCCAAAAGAGGCCTGTTTCGCCACAATTGAACACTTGTTCAGGTTTCAGTCCTTCAGCCTCTATGTACTCCTTGAATTCCTGCACATATTTTTCAGCCGCTTTACCAAAGGGGTGGCACTAGAAGCTTTCTTTGGAGCCATGGTGGCTTATTTATCAGTTGCAAGCACTAAAATGATTGGAATATTATGAAATGTATCTATCACAAAAATATGTATCGTATTATTGTGATAGATAAGCCGTAGAGTTGATATTAGCGTAATTCTTCAACAATAAACTCGCCTCCCCTCCCTCTGCCATACACCAAGAGTCTTCATTAAAGGTAAGTGTGATGCTAAATGTTCATTTATACATTGTATTAGTGCTTTACATTTATTTGTAATTCTTTTCTGCATGTAAATCTATATTTAAGCTAGGGAAGTGGCTAGGGAAGTGACCCCTGATAAGGACTGGGTACCTAGAATCCTTATGGGGATCCTTATGGAGAGGGATTCCCCTTCCAAACAATAACCTCTCTTCCCTCTCTCCTCCTCCTTGTCTTCAATCCATCAACAACAGTCTTCAATAAAGGTAACTGTCATGCTGAATGCTCATTCTTTTGTGCATGTAAATCTATCTTTAAGGTAAAAAAAATTTTTTTGTTGATACTTCTGGGTATCTGGAATGAATTAATTTGATTTACATTATTTCTTATGGGGAAAATGGTTTCGCAAATCGTCAGTTTCAATAACAGTCACACTCTCTGGAACGAATTACGAAAAATGAGGGACCACTGTATGTCATTACGTATGTTAGGAATTGTAGCAGCAGCAGGGGAGTGTGTTTGGAGATAGGACAAGATAGTCCTTCAATATGACACTAACATTAACTCTATGGCTTATTTATCTATCACAATTCATCTAATATGACATAATAAACAATATTAATAACACTGAAAGGGTTAAGTTCTTCTTGTGTTTCTTGGCTCCTGTATGAGCCCTTAAGCTTAAGTTCGGTATTTTCTGAAGGCATCCTTGTAACTGATCACTTCATGCTGGTCAGGAGCCCTGCACATACATGTCTGTACCTCTTTTATGTTGTGATCTGAGAGTATACTGTCTTTGATACTGTTATATTTTGTATCAGGCCATCATTATTAATGAAGATGAGATCAAGTGTAATTTCTACTCTTGCTGGTTCCACTATTTGCTGGTTTAAGGTGAATTTGTTGCAGAGATTTAATAGCTCATGTGTGAGTGAATTTTCATCGTAGTTTCTGGGGTGTGAAGGCTTACTCAGCTCTGTAATAACTTCAGACAGCATTACCAAAGCTGGCTCCTCCTCAGGAAAATTAATGAATAGAAAACGAAATAATAATTAACAAAGATAAACACTTTATTATTTATTAAAGCAAACATAAAACAATAAAACATGACAGGTATATCCTATTTGAAAGAAAAATGAAAAATGAAATGAATAAAATAACATTTGAACTCAACGCTAATATATATATTGGGGTGTCTGGTGTTGGTGACACTTCGTGTTGTTGAAATCTTAGCCGTTGCTGATGGGGGAGGGGGGGGTCGCAGGTGTTGGTGACCACCACCGGCTAGTTCTTCACAGAGTATCGCCGTGAGTATTCTGTCCCGATGACAGGAAAGCAGGTTCTTTACCGCTGCAATGATGTGGGGTTACGTCCTGCAATTTCATACACTTGCACAGGTAATTAAATCCAAAATGGGACGTCTCCAGGACGTTAGTCCGTCTCCGTCAGTTCTCGTTGATTGACAGGTGACCCTCTCTGTCATCCAAGCTGAAAAGATAGACAGGTTACCCACTGCTTAAATAATCACTCTCCATAAGTACAATACCTGAAAGACGTGGTGATTATTACAACAGTCAACTTAGAGCAAGGCTGAAAAGACTAAGTTTATTATTGGTCCGAAGTGAAGCTTTCAACCAATAAATCCACTAGAATACAAGGCAGGCATGTACTTACAGTAGTGTTGGGAGCTGTGAGTCGAGTGATTTACTGTTTGACCAGAGCCCCACACGTCACCTTTTGGGGGGGGGGAAGAGGGAGGGGAAGGGATAGTGGCAGCTAAACTGACCCTACGTTAACAAGCAGCCGGCAGTCAAACTATCACTTTAGGGGTGGGGGAAAAAAGGCGGGAATAGCGGGAGCTTGACTTACCCTACCTTAACAAGTAGCCGGCAATGAAAGTATTGTTACTATATATTCCCTTGCTACTCCTATCTATTGAACTTTTCCCTCACATGGGGGTGATCTCTGCTAAAACATTATTTGCTACATTCCTCCATTTTAGGCATCTTAAGTTGAAATCACCCAACAGCAAGATGTTTGGGGCAGGAGTTGGGAGATTTTTCAGACAGTGGTCAATTTCCACAAGTTGTTCTTGGAATTGTTGGGAAGTTGCATCAAGAGGCTTGTATACAGCCACAATAACAAGTTCTTTTTTTCAATCTTTACTGCCAAAACTTCAACTGTAAGTCCTGGGGGCATTGACCCCCAGGACACTCATGCACACACACATTATGACTTGACCCCTGCAATCACAATTAGGTGAGTATACACTAACCCTCTTGAGCTGAGCCACATTGATGAGAGGACCAATATTAACTTGGGGGTGAGAACCATCACCAACCACCAGTCTCTCAGCCACTACTGTTGTCAGAGTCTTCACAAATGTCTCGTACACACTGTCTTCCACTAACACCCTATTGGCACTGATGCAAGCCTGCAACATAAGAACAAAAGAATGGAGGAACACTGCAGAAGGCCTACTGGCCCATACAAGGCAGGTCCTTATCAAAATGACCTCTACCCAAAGCTACCCAAGAATTTACTCCCATACCCAATGACACAAATCAAACCCAGCCCCTCCCACTCATATATCTGTCCAATCTCTTTTCAAAGCTACCCAAGGTCCTAGCCTCGATCACGCTACTCTGAAGATTGTTCCATGCATCCACAACTCTGTTAGAAAATCAGTACTTACCTATGTCCTTTCTAAATCTAAATTTATCCAACTTACACTTATTTATCCAACATATTACACTTATTACCATACATTGTCTAACAAGAGTACTGTTGGCACTGATAACTTGAAAAATATTACAATATAACTTAACATATTACATGTAGTAGGTTGGTAGACAACAACCACTCAGGGAGGTACTACCATCCTGTGATAGTAGGTTGGTAGATGAACAACCACCCAGGGAGGTACTACCATCCTGTGATAGTAGGTTGGTAGACGAACAACCACCCAGGGAGGTACTACCATGCTGTGATAGTAGGTTGGTAGATGAACAACCACTCAGGGAGGTACTACCATCCTGTGGTAGTAGGCTGGTATATATGTGGTAGTAGGTTGGTACATACGTGTACATATACATGTTTTTTTTCAACGTGTCAGCCATCTCTCACTAAGGCAGGGTGACCCAAAAAAACACTTTCACCACATTCACACAAAATCACTTCTTTGCAAAAGGCACACAGATAGATAGTTTAGATGTCACCCCAAACACCCTATTTTCCCAACCCATCCTTTAAGTGCAGGCACTGTACTTACCACTACCAGGACTCAAGTCTGGGCTAACCAGTTTCCCTGAATCCCTTCACAAAATATTCCCCTGCTCACACTCCAACAGGTTGTCAGGTCCCCAAAAAAACCCTTCTCTCCATTTACTCCTGTCTAACATGCTCAAAACATGCCTGTTGTATGTCCAAGCCCTTGCACACAAAACCTCTTCACCCCCCCCATTCTTCCAGGAGACCCCTACCCCCTCCTCCTCCCAACCACTATAGATTTTTACACCCTCCAAGTCATTCTATTTTTTCTCCACCCTCTCTAAATGACCAAACCACCTCAGTAACCCCTTTTCAGCCCTCTGAATAATACTTTCAGTAACTCCACCTCCCTAATTTCCACACTATTAATTCTGTGCATAATATTTACATCACACATTGCCCTTAGAAGTAAATGCTAGGGTGTTGGGGAGAGGAGTGGGATTTAAATTATGGGAATCAAATACAAAATAGGAGTGACAGTTACTTTTTGCTGATGTGCTTATGGAAGATTCTAAAGAAAAGTTGCAAAGTGAAAAACAGATAAGAGTATGAGATGAGGGTTTCCTAAAATGATTTAGATAAAGAGAAAAACTGGATGATCAAAGTGGAAAGAGGAGTATGTAGAATAGAAGTGAATGTTTTTCAGAGATCTGGGAGTTATGTGTCAGCGATGGATGTATGAAAAGGATGAGTTACGCAAAGAATTGGTTGAAGGAAAAAAGGTGGTGGTGTGGTGAGGTATATGTGGAGGCAAAAAATGTTATCTATGGACGCAAAGGAATGGAATGTATGAAAGTATAGAAGTACCAAACACTCTTATATGGGTTTGTGAAGCTTGGGTTTGTAAATGAGCAGCGAGGAGGCGGTTGGAGGCAGTGGGAGATGTCGGTCTAAGGGGCAATGTTGTGGTGTATATATATGCAGAAAATTAGGAGTGTGGAAATTAGGAGATTGTGTGAAGTTAACAAAAAAGTATTAGTCAGAGGGCTGAAGAGGGGTTGCTTTGAGGTGGTTTGGTCATTTAGAGAGAATGATCAAAGTAGAATGTCATGGAGAGCGTTATAAATCTGTAGGGAAGGAAGGGGGGTAGGGGTTGTCCTTGAAAAGATTGAAGGAGGGGGTATAAAGGAGGTTTTGTGGGCAAGGGGCTTGGATTCCAGTAAGAGTGCATGAGTGTGTTCGATTGGAGAGAATGGAGACGAATGGTTTTGGGGGACCTTGCGAGCTGTTGGATTATGAGCAGGGTAATTTTTAGTGAGGGATCCAGGGAAACCAGTTATTTTTATATAGCCTGACTCGAAGTACTGGGAAATGGGGAAAATCAATTGCCTGCGCATAAAGGAGGGGTTTGGGATATTAGCAGTTTGGAGGGAATATGTTATATTTCTTTATATATGCTTCATAAACTGTTGATCTGGGCGCACCCTGCCTTGGTGGGAGGGACGCCGACTTGTTGAAAAAAAAGAAAAAAAAATTGCCCTTAGATAGGATATCTCCACTGCCTCCAGCTCCTCTCGCGCAGCATTTACAACTCATGCTTCATACCCATATAAGAGTGTTGGTTCAACTATACTCTGGTACTTCCTTCTTTGCTCCAGGTTAACTTTTTTGTTCCAAAAGATACCTCAACACACCACTTACCTATTTTCATCCTCCATTCAATTCTTATGGTTAACACTCGTCGTTCAAAACCCTTCTGCTGACAATTCTAGTCCCAAAATATCTGAAAACATTCACTTCTTCCGTTAATTGCCTTCAGTGTGAAATCAATTTTTTCTTTACCTAACTCATTTTATTTTCCCTCATCACCTTACTCTTATCTTTGTTCACTTTCAAACTTTTACCTTCACATACCCTCCCAAACTCATCAACTAACCTGTTGCAACTCTTCTTTGGAATAAGTTCAGTTTCATCAGCAAAAGTAACTACAATTCCCATTTTGTATTTGATTCCCCTAATTTAAATCCACCCTCTCCCCAACACCCTTGCATTTCTTCTTTTACAATCCCATCTATAAATATGTTTAACAACTATGGGGATATTATACATACTGTCTCTAAGACCTATTTTCACTGGGAAGTAATTCCTCTCTCCTACCCATTCTAACATGACCCTCAATATACTCATACCTATTTCTGCACCTCTTGCAACATCTGCCACATGCTCTCCTATCTACCCTATCATTGCTTTTTCTAAATGCATAAAAGCAATGAAAACTTCCTTACTTTATCTAAATACTGTTCATATATATGCTTCAAGTACACACTTGATCTTACACATCCATATCCATTCTAAGCCTCCCTGTTCATCAGCAATCCTACTCTCTGTCTTACCTCTATTCTTTAAATAAAAAACCCTTACCATACACTATACCTGGTTATACTCGGTAAACCTCTTCCCTTTAATTTTTACATTCTCCTTTTGTCCCCAAAAAGAAAGAAAATCCCCAAAAAGAAAATACAGTGACCCGCCTTACGATATTATTTCTTCCAGAAGTATGTTCAGGTGCCGTCACCGACCGAATTTGTTCCCATAAGAATATTGTGAATTTGATTAGTCCGTTTCAGACCCAAAAATACACTTACAAAGCACTTACAAAATTTCACTTACATAATGGTTCGAGTTGGGGAGCTGACCCTGATCGTAAGGCGGGGGTACACTGTACTTTCATCATCATTCAACACTTTCACCTCACTCACAATAATCAGGTTTTTGAGAGGCTGCCCCCCGAATACAACAGTTTAGTAGTATACATGTATAAAAATACACAATATATCCATCGAAACTGCCAAGATCCAAACTCTCTCCTTCAGAGTGCAGGCATTGTACTTCCATTTCCAGGACTCAAGTCGGGTTATATAAAATAACTGGTTTCCATTATCCCTGCTCTTAATATTACCCTGCTCCACACTCCAACAGCTCATCAGATCCCAAAATACCTTTTGTCTCCATTCACTCCTATCTAACACTCCCACGCACGCTTGCTGGAAGTCCAAACCCTCGCCCTCACAACAATCCTTTACCCCCTCCCTCAAATCTTTTCGAGGACGACCCCCTTCACTGCCTTCCTTCCCCTACAGATTTATACGCTTCTCCATGTCATTCTACTTTGATCCATTGTCTCTCTAAATGACCAAACCATCTCAACAAAACCCGATTTTCATGCCCTCTGTCTATTACTTTTATTAACTTCACACCTTCTCCTAATTTCCTCACTCCAAATTTTCTGTACAATATCTACACCACACATTGCCCTTTACACAGGAGTTTTCCTACATTTCCTTAATAGTTTTTTTTTTCTGATATTCGTTCATCTCCACAGAGAAGGGAACAGAATCCTTCCTCAGCAAGCCACGCTGTCATAAAAAGGTGTGAACTAACAAATAGCAAGAAGGTGCAGGAACTAAATGCCAGGAGAAGGGTGCTAGTAACATGCTAGAGCAGGTGCTCTAGGAGCAAGGTGCTAGTACTAAAATCGTTAGAGGCAAGGAGCTAGTACCTTACATGCTAGGAGCAAGGTGCTAGTAACTAACATGCTAGGAGCAAGGTGCTAGTAACTAACATACTAGCAGCAAGGTGCTAGTAACTAACATGCTAGGAGCAAGGTGCTAGTAACTAACATACTAGCAGCAACATGCTAGTAACTAGCATAATAGCAGCAATGTGCTAGTAACTAATATACTAGCAGCAAGATGCTAGTAACTAATATACGTGGTTTCGCAGCGGCAGCAGCGGCATCCTACCAGCTCTTCCTCAAAAAACCATCGCTCATCAAAACTTGTGATGGCCTAAGTGAAAGTACAACTACATGAACCCACGTAGACCACAAAATGACCCAAGAATACTAAGAATGTAACCCAAAATCTGACAAAATTAGAAGATCTAAGGAAGACAGCCCTGCTAACCCAAACACTGCCTCTGCTGCCAGACAACCACTTAACCCAAGCTCTGAGAAAACAAGCCTTCTCCTCCATTGCTACACAGTATCTACTTCAGTGATACTATGAAAGGATATCGCAGAAGAAACAACACCAGTAATAAAAGAATAACAGCAAGGACCCTAGAACTCAACTTGTCTACCCAGCAGGACGCCGGTGTATCATCAACCCCCCTCACCACCGCCACCCAGGGAACAACAACAAACATGGCTGACTCCCCCTCCAA